AAGCAGAAGTGAGGGACCTTGGGTTCTAGATGCTTCCTTGTAATAAGCACACCATTCTCTAGGAGGCATTTCTGTAGCCAAAATCCAAAGCTCAAGACCTTCAATACTATTGGCAAAAAGCTACAAGCCGGTGGACGTTGAATAAACTGATGAATATCCACTTGTAATTTTTTTTTTTTAATCAACTGATGCACTAGTAAAATGGTTTATCTAGGTTTGTTTTTCTATGACTAGATGGTAAAACGATGTCTGTCTTGGTCACAATTACTGGGCCTGGTGTGGTACCCAGCTCAGTTTGCTCTGATCGTGTCCCTGGCGTGAATGCATAGCTCCCTTGGGGCTCTCACCCGTGATCATGCCTAGAGCTCTCTAATGACAACATACACAGTGAGTAAAAGGGGGTGCAGTGGGCACTCAGCCAAAGCCCTGTTGTGTCTCAGAAGCACTGTGTCCTTTTCCTTCAGCGCATTTCCCCAAATTGAAATGTTCGCTCTTGCTCTTCAGGGTTTATACATCCTCCCTCCCTCTTGAATAGTAGCAGGACAAACAATTCAGCAGTTTTTATTCAGAATGACTGAATACAGTAAAAGATTTAGACTGAAGTATATCAGATGTTGGCTATCTGGGGCTTCTTTCTAGAGAGAAAAAAAAAGACACACTTCTGCCTTAAACAGTCCTCAGTACAGTTAGGTAGATAAACCATACGCGTAAAGAGGAAAACGGTCATGAATGTATGCAAACGTTACAAAGTCATCAAGATGAACATTTAAGATTAGTGCACTTGACACACATGACGTGTTTTATACCTTGACTTCTAAAAAGGGAGTAAGTCACAGTATAAGGGAGTAGCCCATGCTAATCAAATCATGAACATTACACAGAGAATGGAATCAGTGTCGGCAGTGGTTAGAACTGGCTTCTTGCAGGTGGTAGGGTTGAATCTGGGGCTTCAAAGAAAAAGAAGTGGGAATTACACAAAGGTCGGAGAAGCCCAAAGCCATACGGGGATTTGCAAGTGGAGGGTTTGTTCGATGTCAAGACGTCAAAAAGAGTGAAGAGGTTGGACAGATTGGGAAGGGCTTGGAGGCCAGGTTGAAAATGTGAACTTTACCCCGAGGAAGGAAGCAGGAGCGTGATCGTCGGAAAACTGTATAATCCCAGTGAAGCGAGACAGCCTAGAGCAGGGTGGCAGGAAAAACGGAGAGGAAAGGTGTTCCGCAAACTTTGACATGCACAGGGGTCACTGAGTCCCCGGGGATACTGCGGGTCAGAACCACCAGGGGATATGGCTCAGCTGCAAATCCTCATCCCCAAGGTCTGCAGGTGCTGCTGCTGGTCTGAGGACCCCCTTCTAAGTAGCACGGATCTTAACCTGCCGCGCGACAGAACTGCCTGGTACCTTGTCACTGTGCGGGTAATATTTTTCTCCTCCAGAGTAGTTTTATATCATGTACATTAGCACCAGGAAGTAAATTTCAGTAACACACTGAGAGAAGTTTCTTACTAACCTTTGACAGTTCCAGCTTGCTACATTTTCACAAACAAAATATTTACGGATACTTTTTAATTACATTTAGTTGGTGCTTTTTCTCAGATCTCATTGTTTAAAGGTATTTAACAGAAGTGTTTTTCATCTTTTCATAATCCTTTGTCCGTCCTCATGACCAACTGCATGGTCACAAGAACACTGTGACTTTTGAGCCATTTTAGTGGGATAGCAGACAGCAGATGAGAAATACACAATGCACTATCTTGTGCCAGTATCCAGCAGAAGGGGATCTAAATGACGAGAATGAAAATGTTTCTGCAAACATGAATATCCTCAGCGGTAGCAGGAAATAATGGGAAAAAAATCAAAGTAAATTGCTTTTTAACTACTTTTTTGTAGAGTCCATATCACTATCGTGACTTTTTTAAAGTATAGTTTGGTACTATCTTGCAACTCTGTATCTAGTGTGAGTGAACTGTCTCCAAGGTTGATTCTTAAATCTGGTTAATTTTTCCACTAAAGAGGCAGTGGCATATTTAAGAAGACAATTTTACTAACCCTTTAACATGTAGTCTTAACGAAATTCTGTGTGTGATTTAGAAGACCCTTTTAAAACGCATCTCTCTATAGATACTATCTTAGGAGCTCCAATCTGAAGCACTTCTAAAACATGCTGGAAAATACACTGAACCAAAGGCTGGCAGAAATCTACTACTATAGATTTCTCTTTCATTCCTTTATGCCTTAGAGGGTCTTTCAAAGAACTAGGCGACACATTCACATTCGGGGGAGGGATTTTCACGTTTTATTTTCATTGCACAAATTTGAAATGCATGAACTCACAATACCATTCAGCATCAGGAACGATGTAGAAGGGACTCTTGAAAATGTTCATTGATGCCTCTCGGATCTCACTTAGATCATTAACTATCAGAGCCGGAAGGAACTTCCAATATCCATCCTGGAGATTAGGGATGGGTACAAACTTGACATCTTTGCCTTTGTTATTGGCATCTCTGAACCGCTTATTTTTAATAGCGTTCTGTAAGGTACTCCCACCGCTTCCTTTGGAAGGCAGTCTTTAATCACATCTATCAAGAACTTTTGATGTATTTTTTTAACCACATTTCATTGTTTCTACTTATACTAGTTATTACCATCTGAATCAATTCACCCACCTACCTCCACCCTGTTTGCATCCTGTTTGAAATTGGGTGTTTCCTAAACTCTAACTATAGCCAAAACCTCCATATTTAATTTTCTAGCCCCTTTATTCGGAGATGATTGGTTTCTGTATCACATGTTCAGTATTATATGTCTCCTGCCAAGAGGACAGACCATCTCTGTAATCAATTAGTGTAGCCCAATGTGAGGGAGGCAGCTCATCTTCCCACCGGACCCACCTTGTTGTCTGGGCTACAGACCAGAGCCCCCTTTCCAGGAGCCAAGAACTCACTCTGTCACAGAGACCTTCTGCCCTTTTCATGCCAGATGGGCGGGAACTCACTGTGTACTTCAGATGTGCTCTCCACTCTGCCAAATTCAAGGCCAGCAAGGACTGAGCCAAAGGACACTATGGCTCTCAAACCAGGCCTCAAGCAAGCCCGGCCTCCTACGTTTCCCCAGCTAGCAAGGGGCCCCCGCCTGTGGCTCTCGCAGGGTTGTCTGCACTCTGTCCAAACTCCTCCCCCTCGGGAACTAGCTCTGCCCCCAGCCAATTCACCCACCTTCTGGTAGGCACACAGCAGCACCTCCCGGGGCTCGCGGCCCCCAATCCAGAGAGGCCCCAGGCGGATCACGGCCCCTTTGGCTTCTCTGCAACCTTGCCACCAGCCCATAGTTCTGCAGTCCTTCTCCAGGAGCAGATGACTCCGACAACGCCCATGGCAGGCGGTGCCGCCACAGACCCGCCCACCACCACCCTAGCTGACATGACTTCATTCCTGATGCTGTCCTGCCACTTCCGGTCTCTGACAGGAAATCCCTACCGCCAGCCGACCCACTCTCGCCCCTTCCGACAGTCGGCTTGTGGCTGAGGCCAGGGGCCGCCTCTGTTGCAGCTCTAAGGGAGGCCTTGGGTGTGGAGCTGCTGGCCCTTGTGCACAGGGTGCCTGGGTGAAGGGCCACCAAAATGTCGCCCCAGCACCAGGCCACCATCCTGGACCACTGGGAGCTCTCTTTAGCTCCCCAGGAGGAAGGAGATACAATGGCCAAGGGAATTAAGTGATCTTAATGTGTCTTTGGCCTCCCTCTTGCCCATGCTGGAAGCATCTCCCGGGCCTGCCAGGCAGGCTAGTGGAGGGAGCATGTGGAGATGGGGGGCGGGGGTGACCCCTGTCCTGCACTGTGCAGATGCCCACAAGCATTAGAGCATTCGAGGAAGGCCTAATGCTCCATTACTTTACTTCAGTAAAGGAACCCAAACCACGCTGAGTTAGACAGGCAAGGAAGTCGGCCGTGTCCCTTTAGTCTGGGGCACGTTCACCCTCCCCAGGGCTGGAGCCTCACCCACAGTCAGGAGACCAGGGGCCACTCAAACCCCTCCTTCCCCTCCATGTTCTCCTTCCCTTTGAAGCCCTTGCTCCAGAAGGATTCCTTGCTCACCAGCTAACCAGTCCCCATGTCCTCCTGTGTCTTGACAGTCTCCACAGTGTCCATTATGGGCTGGGCCTCTCAGCCACCTGCTCACTTACCTCTTTCAGCTGCGGGCGGAGGAAGGGAGCAGACGTTCATTCATCGAACAAAGATGGGGGGGCCAGGCCCGCACTAGGTGCTGGGGATACGTGCGCCAACAAGACCGAGACATGCCCCGTGGGTCTTGCATTTTGGAGGAAGAAATAGATAATAAGCGTAAAACAAATAAATGGGAATCATGTCAGGCCGTGGTAGGTACCACGTAGAAAAATAAAGCAAGGTTGGCGTGGAGATTTTAGCTAAGATGGGCAGGGGGCCTCTCTGTGAGGAGGGAGAGCACGTGCCCACGGGGCCCCTCGCGTCCACGTCTTCTTCCACGTGCAGATACCACGTGATTTCCTGTCCCTTCACTCCGTGTGTCCCTCCAGGTGCGCACCAGATGAAGCCTGCTGACGCCCGCACACTCGCACGCAACTTTCGGACGTTGTTAGGAACTCATCACGCTACAGGAGCATCTCCGAGCTCCCGCGTTGTACTGACACCGCCACATGGCCTTCTGCCACTAGCTTAGCCTTGAAGGAGGCCCCGTGCCCCTTCCCAATGTCTGAGTAGCCCCTCACCCCCCCAACTGTGGGTAAGAGGAAAGGGGGAAAGCAGAGGTAAAAAGAAGAAAAGAAAATGCAGCCTTAGCCCCTCAGTCAGGAATGTTGTGCTGTCTAGGCAGGTACATAGTCAGGGAGGAAAGGCAGAATGTACCCCAGCTCCCCCACCTGCCCCTGCCCTCCGGTGCCTCGGTGACTGTCCCATCCCCTAGACCCACCGCCCAGGAGAAAGCCACCCGAGAACACCTCTGAGCATGTGCCGGCTTTTTTTTCAGCTTCCTGGAGAGAATCGACAGTGTCAGTTTGGTGGACTACACACCCACAGACCAGGTATGTGAAGCCAGAGCCCGCAGTCACCTACCTGCTTGAACTTGGCGAGATTGAGGAATTGTCAGTGTTTGTTCACTGATGATTTGTAAATGGATGAAAGGGCGAAGTCCATAAAACAGCTACTTCCTGCAATTGTGTCCACTGTCCCTGCATGTGCACAGGGTATATATACCATACCCTGTGATGCAGCGCCTGACTTAGCTCTCTAAAATGTCCTGGATTTCTAACCTGCCAACGTCATAACAACTTTGTCTGTGGGATAGCAGCGTGCAGTTCCCATTGCTCTTGCAGCTGTCCGCAGCAAGCTCAACCTTTGCTTCTCCGGCTTCGTCCACTCTGCCCATTCTACTGTGGGCCCTGGGCTGGGTCACACATACAGGCATGCTCTCCAGGTGCGACTCAGAGTGTGGTCTTTGGGTTAAGCTGGATCAAAGTGCCCCACTGCCCATGTGTAAGTAGCAGGGAGGGAGCTTCCGTGCCCCCTGGAACCTTTGGCCATCAGGCATCCACAGAGACTCGGATCACTCCGAATTGCTCAGCTTAGGAGCCCCACAGACACCTCAGGAGCTAGTGAACTCCAAGGAAGCTGGGGGGCTCCGTTCGAACTGCCCGTCCGAGACTCCCCCAGTGTCTGTGTCCCCTGGAGGGCCTTGGCTGTGGGCCTTTCCTGGCGGCTCTCTCTTCTCTGCCTCCCCTGGAGGCCTGAGCTCCTCTCTCCCCTGAAATCCACGACTCCGAGAGGCTGACCCCAAGAGCTCAAAATTATCCGACAGAGCAGTCGAGCCTTTGATTTCTCACCCATCGGCGTGCACCCGCAGCAGGTGGCTCTCCAGGAAGGCACAGCAGCAGAGCACCACCAGGACCCCGTGTCAGCTGCACCTGTGACAGGACGCCCTGGGACCCCTGCAGAAGTGATTTAAAAAAAAAAAAAATCCTAAAGAAAATAAAAGCACAGCTCTTAAGTCTCTAAGACCAAACCAGCACATTAATTGTGACTTTCTGCTTGGGGGGGCGGCAGGGGGCTGGGGGCAGAGCATTTGTCTGACTTTTTAAGTATCATTGTCTCTCTCACAATTGGAAGAAGTGGTTATTTGAAAAACTTGTTTACTATGCTTGCGGTTGCGTTCAGGGCTTTCCTTCTGAAGAACGGTGATGCCACTTGGTTTGTCTTCTTGTTCTCAGGATCTTCTCAGATGCAGAGTCCTGACATCAGGGATTTTCGAGACCCGATTCCAAGTGGACAAAGTAAACTTTCAGTAAGTCGTTGAGAGCAGGCCTGCCAGAGATGGGGAGTCGGACACCCCCCTGGCTGCCTGCTGGGGCCTAATGGGGTCAGGGAGCCCGGCCTTCCTGCCATGGGCTGGACCCTGGGGCTTCAGTCATCCCAACTGTGCCTCACTACCCTTCTGGATAAGTCTATACAGACTCTGTGGCCCTAAAGGGCATGCAGTTAAGTGTAGGGCAGGGAGGAAGGTGGGAGCCAGGGCCACCTGAGAAGGTGAGGACTATCCAGAGCAGCCATCCAGGCAGGGGGATGCCTCCTGAGGGCTGCCCTGAGCAGAGGGGCCCGAGCCGGCCTGGTGACTGCACGGTGAGGCCTGTGACCCCAAGAAACAACGGGGTGTGGACTCCCGGGCCAGGCAATGGTGCAGAACCTCAGAGCGGGCAGAGCCATCTGCCGAGGCCACACAGGGAGCAGTGCCACGGGCCCGGAGCCACGGCAGAGGAGGGACACGGAGGGGGTCTCGCCTCAAATGATCGTGCCTGATTTTCCTCCACAGCATGTTTGACGTCGGCGGCCAGAGGGACGAGAGAAGAAAATGGATCCAGTGCTTTAACGGTGATTGCTATGCTTTCTCAAGAATAGGGATGAATTCTCACACTCATTCCTGCTATTGTGCTTCAGTAGCTTTGAATTAGACCATCTATTACGTGCCTTAAATGTGAATCTCATCAGGAATCGAAGCATCCCAGCTTTACATTTAGCATAGGCTCATGGGGTACATTACTGAAACACACAGTGCTTCTTTAAGTCATTCTCATAATCCCGGGGTGAAAATGAGTAGCAGTTGGATGTAGACCTTATCATGACCACGCAGTGGCTCTCTAACGGAGGCGCTTCTCTTTGTCTCTCTTCTCCCACGAAGACGTCACAGCTATCATTTATGTCGCCGCCTGCAGCAGCTACAACATGGTGATTCGGGAAGATAACAACACCAACAGGCTCAGAGAGTCCCTGGACCTCTTCGAAAGCATCTGGAACAACAGGTGATAAAAATAAGAAATTCAGGGGCACCTGGGTGGCTCAGTCGTTAAGCGTCTGCCTTCGTCTCAGGTCATGATCCCAGGGTCCTGGAATCGAGCCCCACATCGGGCTCCCTGCTCGGCGGGAAGCCTGCTTCTCCCTCTCCCACTCCCCCTGCTTGTGTTCCCTCTCTCACTGTGTCTCTCTCTGTCAAATAAATAAAATCTAAAAAAAAAAAAAGAAAGAAATTCAGTTGCACCTCTGGAAATTGCAAATTTTCTTTCATGAAAAATACCACTCAGCTTACTTTCATTATTATTCTCCAGATATATTTTCTTTCCGTGCTGATAAATCCAGAACCGTCAGCAGGATCTTTTTTGGCCCATCTCATGCATAGACACACTTAGTATGGGGAGTATTCTTTGATGACGCTCTGACAGTGCTTTGTCAAGAAAACTCAGATATCTGTTTTGAAAGCTCAAGATTATCTCTAGGGTTCAAAACTGGTTTTGTTTGGTTTTTGAAACTTAGAAAGTACCATCCACAAATAACTAGATAATCTCTAGAAGATCCCTTACGGGTCAAAAGCACAGCATAGTCATGTTTGAAACTGCTATTGTTGCAAAGGGTGATTATTTTAGAAAGGAATACCCACCAAACGCACACATACACAATACACACATAGATATTAAAAATCAAAGTATCTTCTGAACTATTTAAGAAGAAATATCACCAAGGAGGAACAGGAAACATTAAGCTGAACTTGCAAAACATTTGGTTTATCAGAGAAGTTTTTCTCTATCAAAAGTGTTCAACAACTGTTCTCAGTGGAATAGTATTAAGACAGTGAGAAAGAAAAAGAGGAAATACTGGCTATACGGAAGAACACTTTGGAGTCATTAAAAATTTATATATATATAAACATATATATGTTATATATAATATTTACATATTATATATATTTATATATATATATGTAAACACACAAAGTCACATGAGAAAATGACCACAATATTGTTAAATGAAAAAGCAGATTTAAAAACACCATGATCTTGTTTTTATAAATATGTCTGATGATAGGAAAAAACCTGGAAGTAAAAACATAACAGTTCTAATAGTTGCCTCTAATAGTAATTACATTTGATTTTTTTCTATGATTAATTTTTCTATAATTAAAAATTCATTTTTACCAGGATTCGCTATTTTATAACAAGGAACAGTAAAGCTATTTCCATTTGGAGGAAGAATGGATTGTGTTTCTACTTCATAGTAAGATTCCTGTGCACTAATCATCAGCTTCATTCCTTTGAAATAATAGAATTTACAAAGGCTTTGCTCATGCACATACTGAGTTCATCTTAAGCCCGTGCTCTGTGTCTGTTTAATAAAACAGAGAGAGAACCTTCCCCATCCTTCACTGTCACTGTACCTGAGCCCCTCTCCTTAGCCTGTCCAATGCTGTGGCCTTGACCAAAGTCTAACATCCTGCTCCACCTCTGGAGAACCTCAGCCTGCTCAGACTCAGCACAGGAAGAGCCAAGCCAGCTACAAATCACATTCTGTGTGTTTAGCTAATGACTCATGTGTTTTGTTGTTGTTATTAACGCTCTAACATCTCATTTTCCCACCCTTTATTAGTAAACTGCCGCGCAAAAATCCAGGTGTATTTATTCCATAAATAACCCTTAGCTTTGGTGCCAAGAAATTTACATTCCCAGGAAAGATGAATTTGAAAATACTGAACTGCTAAATCAACTATCTCTATTTATTTATTATACGGTTTACTCATTATAAGAACGTCTTGCTTGCAGCTGGAGCAGGGGTCCACGAGATTGGTGTATCACATAATTCTAAATCCTGTACATTTCAGGAAGATGGCAGTGTTCTTCTTTTCAGCAAGCAACTCCTATGTTACAGGTACTTTCATGTACTCGTGGATGTGAACTTGGTACGTTTATTTCTCTTTTCAGGTGGTTACGGACCATTTCTATCATCTTGTTCTTGAACAAACAGGATATGTTGGCAGAAAAAGTCTTGGCAGGGAAATCAAAAATTGAAGATTATTTCCCAGAGTATGCAAATTATACTGTTCCTGAAGATGGTAAGATTTCAAAACTAGTTTTTCCTGACTAAGGAAAAGGATTGATTGCTTTTTTTTAATAGCCCTGTTACTGTAGTGCAAACAGTTCTGACAATTTTAGGGAATTCCAATTAATTTGAATCAATCCTCTGGACTACTGCCCCACCTTAAAATACGAGCATATTACAGTGTCCTATTTCGGATTCCATGTGTAAGAATGTCAAGGTTTGACTTTGCATTCAAACTGTGCAGGAGACAGGGCACCTTTGGGTGTGAGTATGTCATTGGCTGAATTAAGTTCTGTCTCTTGGTGCCTTGGTTGGGTCTGTCGTGAACTGGGCACTGTGTCAGCCGACCTTGACTCTCACTGTAATCCCAGAAATGACCCTTTCTGTTATTTGCCTGTTTTCCTGTAGAAAGTGAGCTGAGAGAGGTAGTCAGTTGTTCAAGGTCACTCAGGTAGAGTCTGCCAGGACAGGTAGCCTCTGAACCTTCATGCCCAAGCCCACACTTTCAGCCACCACGTCCACCTCTCTTGTCCCCAGCGATGACTTTGGCCACCACCAGGGTGGCCAACCACCTGCAGGGTTCAGGCACTGAGTGGGGGCCTCTCAGTGCTAAATTACAGAAGGCCCCACCCCGGGCAGACCCCGGTTCCCACGGCTGCTCCTCAGTTCTCAGCACACGCTGGGCCACCTCGTGGGAGGGATTTATTTGCAGCGAAACGATACCACTTCTTAAAATTTGAACCCCCAACTACATAAAGCAGAATGAAAGGGACTTTCCTAGAAACTAGGGAAACTCAGGTAAGAAGTGGTTCGTGGTGATCCTCCGGCTAACCTCGGCCAGCCTGGTGGCCAGTCACCTGCCTACAAGAAGTCAGCAGAGCTTGGCTGCCGCTGCCCTCTCTTCCCTGGACTACGGGCGCCAGCAAGCCGGGCCTTCTTTCTTCTCCCAGTAGCCAGGCCCCCGTGCCCCGCACCCTGGACAGTCAGCACTCAGGCGTCCACTGTGCTCTTCCTTCTTTCCCTCCTCTCTGTCTTGGTTCTGGCCCTCCTTCGCCTTTTCTCAGCTCTGGGTCTGGTCCAGACAACGTCCTGCCCAGGCTCCCTTACTCTGCTCACTCAACTTTCCAGAACATTCTCGGAATTTCTGCCAAATTCTTTCTGAAACACAACCACAGTCCTACTTATGATCCCTACCAACACGGACTTAATCTCACCACAAGCTGAGGCCAAACCTGGCCTGGCCAGGAAATATTACTAGCTAGGTTCCCCACAACAACCCTCCGTGGATCCTGTGCTCCCCACACACACACCCTCCGTGGATCCTGTGCTCCCCACACACACACCCTCCGTGGATCCTGTGCTCCCCACACACACACCCTCCGTGGATCCTGTGCTCCCCACACACACACCCTCCGTGGATCCTGTGCTCCTCCCACACACACACCCTCTGTGGATCCTGTGCTCCTCCCACACATACCCTCCCTGGATCCTGTGCTCTTCCCACACACACATTCAGTGGATCCTGTGCTCTTCCCACACACACCCTCCTGGATCCTGTGCTCCTCCCACACACACCCTCTGTGGATCCTGTGCTCCTCCCACACACACCCTCCGTGGATCCCGTGCTCCTCCCACACACACATTCAGTGGATCCTGTTCTTCTACCCACATCCTCAGTGGATCCTGTGCTCCCCCCACACACACCCTCCCTGGATCCTGTGCTCCCCACACACACACACCCTCCGTGGATCCTGTGCTCTTCCCACACACACCCTCCTGGATCCTGTGCTCCTCCCACACACACCCTCCGTGGATCCTGTGCTCCCCACACACACACACCCTCCGTGGATCCTGTGCTCCTCCCACACACATATTCAGTGGATCCTGTGCTCCCCCCACACACACCCTGAGTCGGTGGTAGGAACAGCAAACCGGGAGGTCTTCCCTAGAACAAGGCTAAGGAAGGAGAATGCAGACCAGGTGAGCACAGCCACTGCTGAAACCACAGCCTCTAGAACCTTCTCTCTCACCAGAGCTCGGAAGGGGAAGGCAGCCGCGGGGTTGGTCAGTGTTCAGAGACAGGCTCTCGTTTTACTTGAATGGGAGTCATTCCCCACCGCCAAAAACAAAAACAAAACTTTTATCAGAGCTAGATGAGAGAAATAAAGTTCCATTTTAGCTTTTGGCCTTGCTCCAAGCGTCGTCCAGTGCCATGAGTGTGCGGGAGCCCAGCTTTCTAATTCCTCTTCTGTTTTCCATAGAGTTGTACCTTTGTTTCACACTATTTAAACTAAACTCCACTTGTCGTTTTTGCAGCAACACCAGATGCAGGAGAAGATCCCAAAGTGACGCGGGCTAAGTTCTTTATCCGAGACCTGTTTTTGGTAAGCAGTTTGAGTCTTTGTTTTCTTACCACCATAGAGTGATATTGTTCTCTGCAATGTACATATTACTTACCCTTTCATGATCTCATTTAATCTCCCCCTGAATTATGAGAGATGAGGGAAGGTGTCGCTTCCTCTCCCCACTGAGCATACCGAGGTTCAGAGAGTTTGGACCACTCACCTCAGGTCACACAGCTGCCAAGCAAGAACAGGGAGCCTAGTAGCACTTCTCCTACTGTGCCCAAGGCCCCAGGGAATGGCACTGAGAAGAGCCAGACTGTGGTCACTTGTTGTATTTTCCAAAAGGAAAGAGACCTTTGACAGACCTCTCCCTTCATTCACCCCCAAAAGGCTAATTCAGACCTTCAGATAAATTCAGATATCTCTTTCTCTCTCTTTTTTTTTTTTACTTTTTATTTTGAGATGATTTCAAACTTACATAAAAAGCAAAAGACTTATACAATTAACTCCCAGATACTCTTCACCTAAATTGACCAATTGGTAAAATCTTGTCACATTTGCTTTATTTATCTATCTGTCCATCCATCCATCCATACATAGTCTCTTGAATAACTTGCAGCATGTAGCTACCTGTGAGTTTTTACTAGCTTGAAACTAGTAGATGCCACAACACCAAGGACATTTTCCCAGCAGTGCCTGACAGCACTGGACACATGGACCGTGTGCTTCCAGGGAGGTGGGGGTCAGCCCAGTCTGCAGTGCAGATGGTCCACAGCGTGCCTGGCATTTCCTTGGGGATCGGGTACCAGCCTGACTCCTCAGGGGAGCCTTTTTCTCTATCCTCTTCCCACAACGGCCCCTGTTGGTCGCCTCCTGAATCCTATACTGAATGAGAAAGTAAAAGGAGAAGAAAATCAAGTCCCCAAAGTAAGTTCTGATGAACAGTGTTTCCCCCAACTTTAACAGGCAGCGCGGGGAAAGGCCCTGCAGTGAGGAAGTCCGGGAAATGCTGTGTAAATCAAGTGAGACAGGTTTCTCTGTCGTCAGACTGTCCGGAACCTTTGCTGTGCTGGTGTGCATGGCCAATCTCGTCAGTAAGGTAGATTGATTAGTTTGTAGCATATCACAGGCTCCCTTTTTGAGGAGCATCTTGCAAGACCATAAAATAGAAAAACACATAAAAGGTGTTCCATAAAATGCTGTTCTAATGAGAACTGAGAGTTAACTAAGTGTGCACAGTAGGCATTTAAAGATTAGAAACAGAGCTACCCCCTCCCAAAATGAATAGCCATGCCCCCACCATTCGGATGTTGGGCAGAAATCTTTTATTCTCTAACAGTGGACTCAATCTGGCTTGCATGCAGCTTGCAAGTCAGGGAAATAAAAGCCTAGGGGTTCCTGACTTACGTTTTTTATGGTGTTATTTGCCCGGGTCAGTGAGTCATCTAAGGAGTTTTGAGTTGGAACCCCTGACCCCAGACTGCGAAGGCAGCAGGGCGGGCTGCAGACATGGTTATTGATCGGTGCTGAATCTGGACAGGAACAAATGTGGGCAAAACAATAACTTCGACGATAGAAGGCTCCGAGACGGGGCGGGGAATAAAGGCTGTACATGGAGAGGGAGAGGTATGTGGGGGGGCCTGGCCTTGAGGAGGGAAAGGTGGGCTTGGGCAGAGAAGGGGGAAGGCATAATGAGAAGAGCCCTTCAGTGAGAAAGGGCCACACACTGTGGGAGCATTCTCCTCACATGTCCTCACATGCGGAGGGCACTGGCCACCAGGAGGTTTGTCGCAGTCAGGGTCACTTCCTCCCACAACGGGGAGGCCCAAATCATCCCCAGAGCAGGAGGACCTCAGAACGGAGGGAGGGCCGGGTGGCCAGCCCCCAGTGTTCCCCTCGTCACCCTCAGGCAGCCCTGTCGCCTCAGACTGGAAACCACCAGCAAGCCCACGTCCAGACCTGGGCCAGGGGGCCCTCCCGGGCAGGCGTCCCCCCAAACCTTTTAGAGCAGAAGGTTTCAAAGGCAGAGCATGAGGTCAGCACCCTGGGTCTTGATGCTCTGGCATCTGGTAGAAGCCTGCATGTTTTAACTGGCCTTCCCATCCTGGCATTTTATGAGCTCCCCTGTTTTCTTTTACCTTGAACATCATCTCCTTAAGAGAGAGCCTCGGAGATGAGGCTCAGGTGAGCCAGGCAAGCAGTCTGGAACGGCCCAGCTTTCCTTGACAAGCTTATTTCTGTCATTTAAAATGAAAATGTTTAGAAGTGTTAGAAAATGTTTAGTGTGTTTAGAGATAAGCCAACTGCGGCACCCTCTATAACGGCTCTGCCTTATGTTCGTGTGGCTCAGGCAGGGACACACTGGTCCCATCAGTACAGAAAGAAGCCTGTTCTTCCCTCACCCACTGCGCGCCCCCTCCCCGGGTGCCGGTCCCTCCCCCGAGCGCTGCAGGGCTCCAGCTACCTAACCCACACGTTTCAGTGTCCATCAGTCTTGTAAAAATTGTAGTTGCTCAAGAGAAGCCTGACTATTGCTTAAAATAAGTCCGTCCTCCTCCCAGGAGGACTGTCATAACCTGAGGAACATCTTTAGACAGCACAGCAGGGGGTCTCGGTTTTTCTCCAACAGCTGATTCCCAAGATGCTTTGCAGGAAGGGCGGGGGGATAAGGAGGACGGGCAGGGATCCCTGTGGGCACCTATGAGGAAAGCTCCACGTGACCTCTGCCTTCGCGGGCTGGGGCGGCCAGAACAAAGCACCACACACTGGGGGCTTACCCAGCCTTCATTTTCTGACACTTCTGGAGGCTAGAAGTTGAGATCAGAGTGTCAACAGGGTTGGTTTCTCCTGAGGCCTCTCTCCTTGGCTTGTAGATGTTCACCTTCTCGTTGTGTCTTCACATGGTGTCTCCACATGGCCTTTCCTCTGTGTGTGTGTGTCCCAATGTCCTCTCTTCCTATGAGGACACCCATCTTACGGGATTAGGGCCCGCCCACATGACCACATTTTAACTTAAATTACTTCTTTAAAAAGAGATCCTGTCGGGGCGCCTGGGTGGCTCAGTCGTTAAGTGTCTGCCTTCGGCTCAGGTCATGATCCCAGGGTCCTGGGATCGAGCCCCGCATCGGGCTCCCTGCTCCGCGCGGGAAGCCTGCTTCTCCCTCTCCCACTCCCCCTGCTTGTGTTCCCTCTCTCGCAATGTCTTTCTCTCTGTCAAATAAATAAATAAAATCTTAAAAAAAAAAAAAAAGAGATCCTGTCTCCAAATAGTCACACTCAGAGGTGCTAAGGATTAGGACTTCAACATATGAATTGGTGTGGGGAGGACACAATTCAGCCCATGACAGCCTCTCTCCGCATTGCCCCACTTAGCTTCCCAATGCACCTTGTGAATCATGACCAGTCATGCTTTTTCTCCTCTGGGAGAAAAGCCATGAACCTCCCACTGCTAACCAGGGGACACTCCCAGGAAACACTCAAGCTCTAGGTGAAGGAGGCAGTATGACTGATCTGCGGTCCACATGGAATCACTAGCCATATGTGGATATGTAAACCCAACCAAATTAAACTAAAATCCATCTCTGTTGCATCAGCTAGTAATAGTGGCTCCCGTATTGGAAGGGTGACTACAGAACATCTCCACTATGCAGAGAGTTCCATTTGCTAGCCCTGGTTTAGGACTGACATTCGTTTCTGGAAAATTCTCCCGATTTCTGTAAGTGGCTGTCTTTTAAATGTATGCCCTATCTCAGCTGAACCCTAAGCTTCTGTGGGCAGAGGTAAGTGTGAGGTTCTTTGAGTTTCCAGCAGTGTTCAGTATTTAAACAGTCCCTATAAGCTAAGCGTTCCTATGCCAAACCACAACCCCAGATCCTCTTGTCTTCAAAGTGTTGCCTGAATCCTTCTCCAAGAACTAATGGGGTGGTGGCAGTGTTCCCACGTACCCCTGAGCGTGGTGGCCAGGGCCCTGCCGCACAGACAGCTTTTTTTTCTCTTTTTGCAGAGGATCAGCACAGCGACAGGGGATGGCAAACATTACTGCTACCCGCACTTCACCTGTGCCGTGGACACCGAGAACATTCGCAGGGTGTTCAACGACTGCCGTGACATCATCCAGAGGATGCACCTCAAACAGTACGAACTCTTGTGAGGCAGCCCTGGGGGGGGGAGGGGGGGAGGGGGGCGAGGGGCGCGCCTTCTCGCACCTTCTCTCCACCTGCCTCTCCTCCCTTGGCCACCCTGCCAGGTGGGGCATTTACTCCAGCACCGTCAGCCCCAAGCCATGGTCGAAAGTAGGGTGTTCTCAGTCTCGTCCGGCTGCCACCTGTCCTGTTCTGTGTTGGCTCCCGTGTGACCACCAAGCCTCTGGCTACCTCTGTTCCCCTCGGGTTTGGTTTGTAGCTTTTGTCTTCACTGAGCGCAACCTCCCCCAGCGCCCCCACCCGCACCCCTTTGTGCCACTGCAGACCACGCTCACGCGGGTGGTGCTGCAGTGAAATCTGGCCGGGTGAGGGCCCCGCTTATTCATCCACTCAGTGCTTTATTGATTCAGCAGGAGCTTGATAAATGGGGGAGGAATGGCACTTTGTTCCCAACTTATCAAGCACGACTGCAGAGGCAGGGGTACGATGCGGTCAGGCGGACAAGTGGCCGCCCCTTCGGAGCTGCGTTGGCCCACGAGCTAGGCCAGACCTCAAGTCACAGAGTGGAGAGAAACCCTTTTTTCAGTCCCATTTGAGTCGCTGCCAACCTCAGGCATTAAATTAGACCTACTTTGAGCCTTTCACATTTAGGCAGACAACCTACCACACGCACCGCTGCAGTGTGTCCTGTCTCAGAATGACTCTCCAGACTCGGACTATGCTTGGACAAGAGTCTCCTTCCATATCTTGTTGTTGTTGTTGTTGTTGTTGTTTTATGGCTGGTTTACTATAACTGTACAGACCACCAAATGTAACATTATTTTATATAACTACTTAAAAAATCCTTGTAGATCTTTGTGCCTTGATTTTGGCTCTATCTGTACAAGAAATGCGTTTTTCTCGTGCTGAACAGCTAAATGTCAACAGTACCTGCTGCTTGCTCTAAAAAAGAGAATGGTATCTGTAGAATTTAGGATATTTTATCAGGTTAGTACTTTTAAAAATATCCTTGATTAAATATAAATATACACACACATATATATAAATTATACACACGAATCATTCCCATCTTACCATTTTGTACCCACCTCACAAGCTTCTTTCAGAAACCAAGGATTTTTTCCTCCAGACAATATGTCTTTTGATTATTTTGCAATTTAAAGACTTTTACAAGCTCTCTGAGTAGAAATAGGCCAAGCATTCCCTTAGCCTGAGCTTTTGAACCACTCCCTTGACCACAGTTTCTATTGTAAACAAGTAGCAAGAAGGAGACACAGGGGTGTCTGTGTTTGTGTCCAGCCTGAGAGAATCAAAAGATGGCATCTCCATTTGCCTCTTGAAGAAGAAATACTACAAAACCCTTATTTGAAATGCAAAGTCAAAATCTATGCCTGTTTCTCGCAAGCGGAAGATGTGCAAACGCAGCCGCAAAAGTTAGAGTACGATACAGTATCTAGAAAGAGACAATCGCTTTTAGCAGTGATGCTTCATATTCTACCCACAGCCACGCCTTGGAGGCTAGTTTTCTTAGGTCCAAGGTAATCTGCAAACACGCCCAAAGTTGTATTTCAACAATACGAATCCAGAAGTGATAGCCTATATATATATATATAAATATATAATATAAATACATTTATAGCCTAGCTGACGTCACTTCATTTCCTTTAGTCTTTAATATTTTAAAGTTTACTCTAGAAGGCAGCATTTTATAATCGTTTATAAATGCATCCAGATTTAAATACAACTTGTCCAGGGAAGAGAGGATGACAACTTTCCAGGCGATCAGTGTCATAAACACGTAATTTATGTCAGCATCACTAAATTCTGGGCCTCTCGTTCCTGTTGTGTAAAACTCTGATTTGAAATGAGACACGTAAAATGGAAATTATTGTCTTTCCGTTGCGCTTTCAACGTACAACACGAAGAACTGCAGAGCTGCACCCCCACGTGTACACAAAAAGCGAAGTTGTACGCTGTTACTTACATTATCACTCAGCAGTTCCCTTGCAACTGAACTTCCTATTCAGAGACAGAGCCAGGCTCGTAGAAGACACACAGAACACATTTTATCTGGCTTAAAATTATCAAAACATATTTATTTTTAAATACCAAAAGCCACTTCCCAGTCCTTTTTTCAAGTTTCTTTGGATCGTGGACGGGCATTACATTCACATTTAACAGCCTGGTCTGCTGGAGAGAAAATTACACTTCTCAAAAAATCTGATTCCATTATTAGCACAGAAGTACAAAAGTCTGCGAAAACAATATATTCCTGCTTGTGGCATCTGTACTTTTATTATTTTAAGTGTACAGCTTTATAACATATAAGAGTTTGAGGACCACTTTGTAGGGGGACAGAAGCAAACCCAGTGTTTGTGCAAACACAATCCCGAGTGTGTTCCTGGGCCGCTGGCTCTACCTTGGGGGACGTAGGACAGTCTAGTGCATGCAAGTGATGACTTTAATAGCTTTTACATATTGTACAGACACGATCTTTGATTATACATATATTTGATAAAATGAGAAAACAGACTTGTTGTAGAGTACACGTTCCATTTTTATAGCATGAGAACAGTACCATCAACTATTTATTCTGCAGGAATTCGCATCAGTGATTTACAGTTTCTGTGATGTGTGTAAAGACAGCCTCCTTTGATCTCATCTCACATGAGCCCTGCCCAAGGTCCAGTTTCTTGGGCTTTGTTATTTACTATGAAATACAAAAGTCTCCTGCTCTTTACGTGGTCTTAAATTTTCTGAGCAGGTTCCAGCCAAAAATAAGAGATGAGGGTAGAAGCCCAGAGTGAACTAATATGAGGACCACCAGGAGCCCAGCTGCTACACAGTATGTGGCCAGAACGGTGTTCTCGTGGGGGAGGTAGCACTTGGCGAGGGCGTACTCTGTGGGCGTCATACTGCCCTGGAAAGGCAATGAGAACTGTTACTGCCGCAGTGAGAGCCCTCCCACAGCACCACACAACAGACTTAGACACAACAGGGGAAAGACAGCCATCTTGGCTGAGCCAGGTGAGGCCAGGAAGTGGCTCTCCTTCTGAGGCCTTCGGCCTCCACCCACCAACCACAAGCACTGGTTGGAGACATGAAGGGAAGGCTCCCGGTGTGCCGAGCGGAGCTGAGCTCCCCACTGAAACTAGCCCCTGGCACAGCAGGTCCCCAGTGCAGTGGGCACACACGACAGAGGTGCAAGGGGCTAGAGAGTCACATCAGTGGTCACTGAGAAACAAGCACAACAAGGCCATTTCTCATGCCATTTCATGCAGCCTGTTACCCAGAAATGCACGTGCCAGGGGCAACTCAGGGGGCTTTTTTGGTAGATGTTTTTGCGATGTGGAATGACACTGAGGAATGGTCTCATTTACTTTGAATTTGAAAACATGAAGGTTTCCCCAATCTTTTCATGAAGTAAAAGTACCTGACATAAAAGCATTAGGAACTGGGTAAAATCAACATTGGGGGGCCACTAACTGAAACAACATGTCAAGTCAACTTGCAAGAGCTGTAGCATTCTCCTGCCCTAAGACAAGATGATGTCTTGTAAGACAAGATGATGGCGTACAGCCAATAAAGACAGCATCCCGTTTCTTAAGAAAATTAGAAACGCAGAGCCTCCCATCTGAGGACGGTGCGGTCTGTGGAGATGACACAACCCTCAGGATACCCCCCCCCCAGGGCAATGCCCTGCTCTTGTGTCCCCAGAGAGGCGTGCAGACAGGGGTCAGTGGATCAAACCAAGTGTGCATGGGGGGCAGGGCAAGTCTGTATTTACAGGGTTTGTATGTTTTTACGGATTGCAGCAATTAAATAGTTGATTACTGTGTTGATTTCAATACTTCTATGAGAGCGTTCGGATGAAAATAAACGTTCATATTACCATGATGAAGCTGGGGTTGTTTCTGTTCCTCCAACTGAAAGACGGCACGCTGATCTCGGTAACTCCGGCGCCGTGGAGCACCTCGCACGCACTGTGCGTGTGGCCGCTCAGGATGAGGCGTGGTCGCAGCCACCAGAGCAGCTGCCACGCCCGGGGGGACAGCAACAGGCGGTCAGGGCCTGGACACAGCCCCCTCGGGGCCCAGTGCCAGGCCACCCACTTATCTCATGAAGCTAAATCTAAAATCCCTACTTGCTAGGGGGCTTTATTTTTTCCTTAAAATCCTTTGGTTGGTTTAGACCCGATCAAAAGTAAGCTCAGGCTTGTAGGGAGAATCTATCCTTCTCATCTCAGATTTTATATTTTTACAAATATTTCTATAAATTTATTTTATAAATATATTTATATTTTTGTTGTATATCATACACTATACAAATGTGTTTATATAATATAAATACATTTATAAACATACATAAGCACATCTTAAGTCCCCCCAAATTAATTCTTCAGTTCCATTCACATTTTCAAATACATTTCAGTTGATGAAAAAAACTCTGGATAAAGAATAGCTGAGGATATTATTAACTTGATATTAGGAAACATGGGGCGCCTGGGTGGCTCAGTCGTTAAGCGTCTGCCTTCGGCTCAGGTCATGATCCCATGATCCCTCTCCCGCTCCCCCTGCTCATGTCCTGTCTCTTGCTTTCTCTCTCTCAAAAAACTAAATAAATTCTTGAAGAAAAAAGGGGGGGGGAGGGGGCGGCGGGAGGAACAAAAGGATGACTTGAAAATCTGCCACACCCCCGCCCTCGGCCCCCGGGCGGGCCCCCCCCCCCCCCCCGGCCCCGACCGTCTGTCTGTCGGTGGGTGGGCCCCCGCTCCCCGCAAACCTGCTGTGAGGCCTCCCGGGAGAGCACGTCGTATCTCTCCTTAAACGGGATGGCCCGCTCTTCCAGAGGCGCGGCGTCCTCCCCGGAACAATTCGCATCGCTCCTCCGGAAAAGCGGGAAATGCTGCCGGCATTTGGAGAGGGTCCCGTGTGACCAGCAGGCGCTGGCCGAGGGGCCGGAGCCCCGCAGCCCCGCAGCCCCGCAGCCCCGCAGCCCCGGAGCCCCGGAGCCGGGGCCGCGCGGTGCGCACTCACCTGCAGGAGCACCGGGGCCGACGCGGGCAGCAGCGGCGCCCCCTGGCAGCGGCCGGGGCCACGTTTCTGCGGTGAGAAATCCGTTAAGCCGCCAGAGCCGGCCTCCCCGAGCGGTAGGAAAGGAAGGGGGCGCTGAGGGATGCACCAAACACAAAGTGCAGCGACCGCCCCCACAGAAGATGCCAGGGCAGACGCACCTGTGCCTTCAGGTGCTCTCCTACCTCGCGGGAGCAATTCAGTTTGTGAGAAATTTCGATGAGGTCGCCTTCGGCTTCAGAGCAAATGTGGCAGCCATCCCCTTCCAGGGCGACGCTGTTGACCAGCACAAAACTGAGGCGGAGGGAGCAGGCGCAGAGTCAGCGCCCCTGGGCTTCCCGGGCCGGCCTCCGGCCACACTGCTCCCGAGACCCTAAAGCTGAGCGCCCACGGCCTGAAGAACGCGCCCCAGCGCTGCCGTAGCCTCAACCCGACCGCCGTGTCGTAGGCACGAGTTACTAAGAAAGCACGACAGCGCTGCACTGGGAGCGCGGTCGAAGACACGGTCAAGTTTTAGCCTTGAATGGGCGAGAACTCCCGATTACAGAGCTCTGAGATCGGAGCACCACTGCGCCCCCCATGTCACCCTGTGCCTCGCCTGTGAAGACGCGGACACAGCGGCACACCCGTGCCACGGACTGCTGGGGACCGAATGCAGTACTACCACCTGCCCGCCACGAGGAAGTCCTCAGGAACCGCGCAGCGCTGTGACCGTGACGTTCAGCGAACCGTGCGCAGCATTTGCGGACGTCGGTACACGCAGCAGACCAGGCTGGGGGGCCGGGGAGGGCTGTGCGGGCCAGAGCTAACTGCTGCAGAGGATCCCAGACCAGGGTGCTGATAAAGTCAGTGATGGTTGCCCTCTACAAACCACTCCACCTTCATGAGACTTTTACAGACTCCCATTAAGTAACTCTTACTTCCTACACACTTACCACTGGGCATGAAGAAGGTACCTGTCAGTAAACACTGCGGGAAATTTAAAGAATCTTAGCGATTAGGAGCTGACAAACCGAATGACCTGAAATATGATCAGTGTGTTTAAAGTTTCTTAAACTCTACGCTAAGGGAAAAAGAACTAAAACTATGTCAAGTCTTTATAGGACTCAGGAAAGGAAGCTTAGAGACTCGGTCCTAGGGGAGGGGAGGAGTGAGCATTGGTGGAGAACCCCTGACCTGGTCTCTGGGAGTGTCACAGATCATCTCTTGTGATCGACCCAGTGAGCTGCCACGGCCAAAGCCTCGAGTGCTGGACACCCATGGGGGCCACAATCTAAAGAGGAGGAGGCTTCCTCTCCCACCTTTTCTTTCTCTACTAGGTCTGCAGCCAGAACAACGTGTCCGATCTTGTCCACTGCACTGCGAACACACACCCAGACCTGAGAGGGTCCGGAGACAGCACGAAAATGGCCACACAGAAGGGGAGCTGGTGCTCATGGTCAGACGAAAGGGTCGGGATGCTTTGGTCTACAAATCAAGACTGAGGGGAGTGGGGGTGGTACACAGCCAAAGCACAGTAAACACACCTGCCCCCAAATCCTGGGTGAGCATACCCACAAGAGCATCCTTTATAAGGGGAAGGAAGTACATTTTGAACAAATAAAAATATGCTCCTTTACAGATTGGGCTGATGAATTTTCTACCACCCAGAGACATTGCAGGCAGGAAGAAAATGCCCTCAGTGGCTGGGCAAAGTCATACACTGGCCAGTCCACTTGCAGCTTGCTAAGGAACACCAGGCTGGTAACCCTGACAGTGACCATCAGGGAGGGATGAGGCCTGCGGTGCCTTCATCAGAAACTGTATAGGAGGTCACACGGAGCCTGGCTCCGACCCAGGATGACAGCTCCCTTAGAAAATGAAGTTCAGGGGCGCTTGGGTGGCTCAGTCGTTAAGTGTCTGCCTTCGGCTCAGGTCATGATCCCAGGGTCCTGGGATCGAGCCCCACATCCGGCTCCCTGCTCCGCGGACAGCCCACTTCTCCCTCTCCCACTCCTCCTGCTTGTGTTCCCTCTCTCACTGTGTCTCTCTCTGTCAAATAAATAAATAAAAAATCTTAAAAAAAAAATGAAGTTCAAAGGACAGAGGGGCTTCATAAGAATTCACAAATAATACTCACTTCATTCCTTTCCAAGAAAACAGCCTTTCGGGGTTGAAAACTTTCTCAAATCGTTTTATTTTGTATGTGCTCATCCTATATTCAATTGTAAAAAGAGACATTTTTCAGAGCAAGCCATTTTAGGACCTCTTAAGAGTTAGCGGAAACACGGGAAATAACTCGGGATCTGAGCGCCGGGCTAGCTTTGGGAGGGGAGAGCCCCAGCTGCCCCGGGCTGCCAGGGGCAAATCTCAGCTCCACCACTGAGTGACTGCAAGGCCTGGGGCAAGTGACTTAGTCCCCAGAGCCGCAGTTTCCTTACGGCACAATGGGTAAAATACTAGGACCATCGAAAAGATGAAGTGAGTTGATATATCGAAGTAAAGGGCTTAGCCCCGATGTTTATAGCAACACCAGAGCCCAAGTAAGGAAAGAGCCTATCGACTGAGGAAGGGATAAAGAAGAGGCAGCGTATATACATGGAATACTACCCAGCCATCAAAAAAATATGAAATCTTGCCATTTGCAATGACGTGGATGGAGCTAGAGTGTATTAGGCTGAGCAAAATAAGTCGGCAGAGAAAGACAAATACCATATGATTTTACTCATATGTGGAATTTGGGAAACAAAACAAATGAACATGGGGGAAGGGGGAAAAGAGAAAGAGAAGCAAACCATAAGAGATTCTTAAATAGAGAACAAACTGAGGGTTGCTGGAGGGAGGTGGGTTGGAGATGGGCTAGATGGGGGATGGGCATTAAGGAGGGCACTTGTTATGATGAGCACTGGGTGCTGTATGTAAGTGATGAATCACTGAATTCTACTCCAGAAACTAATATTATACCATATGTTAACTAACTAGAACTTAAACAAAAATTTGGAGGAAAAAAATAATAAAGTGCTTAAAACAGGCTGACACATCATAAGCACTACGTAAATATTATTTACAGAAGTCTAAATGGTCTTGTTTTCTGAGTCCCAAAGAAAATAATTGGTCATTAATGTAAGTTTCAAGTTAGAATCACCCAAGGGCACATACAAATCATTTATTTAACAGAGATTCGTAAAGGGTGTACAATGTGCCAAGACAAAAATTTTCCTTCACCATTGTGGAGTTTATGCTCCAGGGCTTACATCTTTCAAGGCCACCAAATGTCCCCCCCACAGCACAAACAAGGCTCTCACCTGAATGGCGGCAGGTTTAAAGTTACAGTTAACGAAGCTCTCAGGGTGCAATGCTTCACTGAACTACTTACTGATAGTGGAAGCCAATGTCATGGTTGCCAGCAACCACCTTCAGCTGCACGTGACGTGGGTGTCTGAATATTTTCTGAAACCGCTCCACATCATCTGCCCAGGCCTATGACAGAACGGGTCACTGCTGAGACCCAGAGAACCCTCTCTTCCCTGTGGCTAAAAAAAAAAAACACACACTCCCTATTCTGATGATGAGAAATTAATTCCCCCATCCAAATCAGATTAATGTAGAACCTAGAATTTCTAATTCTATGTCATACTGCTTTTTCCAAGACTTAATATTTTAATTTATTTAATTTGATGTCAGCTTTTAAATGGTATTCCCCCATATTAAAATATTAGATGGCGGGTGCCTGGGTGGCTCAGTTGGTTAAGCAACTGCCTTCGGCTCAGGTCATGATCCTGGAGTCCCGGGATCGAGTCCCACATCGGGCTCCCTGCTCGGCAGGGAGTCTGCTTCTCCCTCTGACCCTCCTCCCTCTCATGCTCTCTGTCTCTCATTCTCTCTCTCTCTCAAATAAATAAATAAAATCTTTAAAAAAAAAAAATTAGATGGCAATTATATACCCATTATTTTAAGATCCCCTAAAAAGATTCCCTGAAGCCCATGCATGGACCCCAGGTTGATAATCACTCCAGATATGGACACTATAGAACAGGCTCTTAGGAAATGTCAAGTAAATTCATGTGTCTCAACCAAGACAAGGATGAGCACATCCCTCATCTTAGCATTTCCCTGTGGCTACCACTGTGAGAATGAGAATGGATAGGATGTAGGGGAAAAAAAAGACAAAATCCAACCAAAATTTCAACATTATTCTGACATTTACTTTAACTATTAAAGCTCGAGAATTATGTTTGTATCATTCTGCTTCTTATTAAGCCTAAAAATATAAATTGGACAAACACAGGGAAGACAATACTTAGTTGGATAGTAATCAACTTTATCCTAAAAGTTTTAAGTAAGGCCCAATCTAGAGAAATATGCTAGAGAGAGAGTCCTTCAATATATTTACAAAGACTTCACTTTAACAAACAAAATTAGAAAAACAAAAAGGGGTGCCTGGGTGGCTCAGTCAGTTAAGCATCTGCCTTTGGGATCTCAGGGTCCTGGGATCGAGCCCCATGTCAGGCTCCCTGCTCAGTGGGGAATCTACTTCTTCTCCTTCTGCCCCTCCTTTCTCGCTTATGATTTTTCTCTCTCTCTCTCAAATAAATAAATAAAAGCTTTAAAAAAAAAAAAGAAAAACATAAAATGCTGCCCTTAATTTGCAAAAGCAACATATACATCCAACCTCATTTTATAACTAGTTGCTAGTTACATATAGTATTTCCATTATCTCATATTCAATTATGAGACCCTATAAACAGTGGGTTGCTTTTTTTTTAAAGATTTTATTTATTTATTTGACAGAGAGAGAGCACAAGTAGGCAGGCAGAGGGAGAGGGAGAAGCAGGCTCCCCACTGAGCACAGAGCCCGATGCAGGGCTCAATCCAGGACCCCGGGATCATGACCTGAGCTGACGGTAGACACTTAACTGAGCCACCCAGGCACCCCAAACCGTGGATTTCTAACCAGATCTGGACCAAGACTTTCTTTGTAAAGCTTTTGGATTATCCTGGGAAATGCCAATGGCTTTTTAAAAAATATCCCACCCCAGTATAGCCACTCTGGAAAACAGTATGGAGGTTCAGTTAAAAATAGAGGTACCCCACGACCCAGCAATTGCACTACTAGATATTTATCCAAAGGATACAAACATAATGATTCGAAGGGGCACATGTACCCCAGTGTTTATAGCAGCAATGTCCACAACAGCCAAACTATGGAAAGAGCCCAGATGTCCAACAACAGGTGAATGGATAAAGATGTGGTTCATATATACATGTACACACACACACACACACACACACACAATGGAATACTACTTAGCCATCAAAAAGAATAAAATCTTGCCATTTGCAACAATGTGGATGAAGTAGAGGGTATTATGCTAAGTGAAAAAGACAAATACCACATGATTTCACTCATATGTGGAATTTAAGAAATAAAACAGAGGATCATAATCGAAGGGAAGGAAAAATAAGATGAAAACAGAAGGAAACAAACCATAAGAAACTCTTAACTCTAGGAAACAAACTGAGGGCCGCTGGAGGGGAGGTGGGTGGGAGATGGGGTAATTGGATGATGGGCATTAAGGTGGGCACTTGATGTAACAAGCACTGGTTGTTATATACAACTGATAAATCACTGAACTCTACCTCTGAAACTAATAATACACTATGTTAATTGAATTGAATTTAAATAAAAAAAATTTTTTTAAATATCCCACCCTCCAAAATCCCTCCTAAAACCATTCATGACCAAACATTTTTAACTAAGCAGCAAAACAGTTTTTTCTTTTTTCCATTAATTCCAGGAATATAGTAAGTAAAATATTTTGATAGCTAAGGTGAAAACAGCCTTTCTCTTTGGTTATGGAAAGACGTAGGTCACCTCAACACCCAGATGGAGGCCCCTGAAGGCGCAGGAAGCTCACACCAGGCCCCCATGGCTCCTTCTGCTAAGAGGAGGGGTGCCCGGGTGGCACAGTTGTGGTTAAGCATCCAAATCTTGATTTCAGCTGAGGTCATGATCTCAGGGTTGTGAGATCAAGCCCCACGTTGGGCTCTGCTCTCAGCACAGAGTCTGCTTGAGTTTCTTTCTCCCTCTCCCTCTGCTCCTCCCCCAACTCACTCTCTCTCTGATAAATTTAAAAAATTTAAAAGGAGGGTAGCAAGTAACTTTTATAGCACAATTCTCATAATTTCATGGTTAAATAATCAAGTGTAAAGTCAAATTACATTTCAATATGTATTCCGTAATTCTGGTGACAAGTGAAATTGCATGCACCTTGCCTCTTTTTCCACTTCCTGAGAGGCTCACGGGAATGTGCATTCCAACAAAGTGAGCTCTGACTAATCTACCTATTTCCTATATAAACAAATACAGTGGAGAGTCGAACAACATGAGTTTGAACTGGGAGTGCGTCAGCTTATACGCGGACTTTTTTTATAAAGACAGTACAGTACCATGAAGGTATTTTCTCTTCCTTATGATTTTCTTAGCAACATTTTCTTTTCTCTAGCTGACTTTATTCTAAGAATACAGAATAGAATACACGTAACATACGAACTGTGTGTTAACTGACTGTGTTACCAGCAAGGTTTCCAGTCCATAGTGGGCAATTAGTAGTTAAGTTTTGGGAGAATCAGAAGTTATACACAGATTTTTGACTGCACAAGGTCAGCGTCCATACTCCGGCACTGCGCAAGGGTCAACTGTCTAAGATTAGCTTGCCTGACCCAAGACTGGCATGAGATACAGACCCTAATAAGCTTCAAGAGGGACTATACATGTTTAGTGTTGGTGCTAAGCAAAACTTCCAAGCCTCACAGATACTGCTTCATGGATTTTTCTGGGCTGCCTGTCCTGGACCCTCAAAGCAGGATTAGGGTGCCCGGACCACAGGGTCCTACCTGGGAGGAGCTCCACTTCCCTTCATCAAAGATGTCCCCTAGAATGAAGACGACTTCTGGCTGCAACAACCACAGAGCCGTCTGGAAGGCTCTCTCCATTTGCCACTCCCTTGAGGTCAACAGGAAAAAGCACAGCATCAGTCTCTTTCTTAAGTAGAGCCTAGATCTGTCTTATGGGCCATTTAAAAAGTGAACCGAATAGTCACATTCTCCTTCCACGGCCCCACCCCTGCATTCCCATCCAGGCCTGCAAGGTCAGAGTCCATATCTGATTAAATGTGGGGAACAAGGAGGCTGAGGGAGAGTCGGGCTGCCCCGCCCACACATCTTAAAGGCTGACTTCCCCTATGTGGCACCCACAGATCAGACCCCACACTGCACCCCAGAAGCCATCCCTCAGTCACGACAAGCCCCAAAGGTCAGGGAGAGCTCAACGCAGCTTCCAAAGATGCCCTGTGTAGACTGATTTTGCACCACACCAAGATGATAGCATCTGCCTTAAATTTCAGTTCTCCTTGAAGGACCTCAACTTCCTGCCTGCCTTCAGAATTGGGGGAAGATAATGGGAGAATCAGACTAGCCAATATCAAAACTGTAAATCCTGTAGATTTCAGACATCCAAGGACTCATCTGTAGGTAAGACAAGTGAATGAAAAGAGCCTGGGGGGCGCTTGGGGGACTCCGTCGGTTAAGCGTCTGCCTTCGGCTCAGGTCATGATCCCAGGGTCCTGGGATAGAATCCCGTATCAGGCTCCCTGCTCAGCAGGGAGTCTCCTTGTCCCTCCGCCCCACCTACCCCCAGCTCGTGCTCACTCTCACTCACTCTCTCTCTCAAATAAGTAAATAATCTTTAAAAAAAAGAATCCCGCCTGGGATCCAGACCTGACAGGCAACGACTTAACACCCCAGCTCCACCCATAAGCCCTTGTCCCGCCTTGAGAATGTCACCTACTCTCTCTGATTCCTATTCTTCGTTGGTAAATGGGAATAATAAAACCTACTCTCACAGGGAAGTTATGGGATTAAATGAGATAGCATTTGTCATGGGCCCAGCACTGACACAGAGTAGGCGTCCAAATGTCAGTGCTTTCTCGAACCACTCTCCCTGGCCAACTCTGACCTGTGTCATTTTCCTAAGGATCCCAATTCTTCCCTCCTTTTTAAGGCAACCTCCTTAAGCAAAACTTCCAAGCCTCACAGTCTCTCCCCTACCAAAGGGGACTGTGACATCCCAGGGCACAGAAATAGGGAAAGATAATTTGAGGTCAGCGAGGACCCTGATCCAGGCCCCATATAAACTGTTGCATGGCGCACACCTCCACTCAAGATACCTCCCAAAATCCAGTTCTGTTTTTCTCGATTGAATGTTACTCACCCTGGAGAAGAAAGCATCTAGAAACTGCAGCAGCAAGAGGGCAGGGAAGAAGGCTCAACTGGTAAGGCCCAAATGAAGTCAAAGGAGGTCTCACCCAGGCCCTTCTCTACCTCATGCCTCCTTTGGTTTAAAACTCGAGTACAGAAGGACGGCAGCCCCTCCACCCTTCCTTCTTTTGTCTTGCCTTCTTCCCTCACCCCTGGGGACATTACACCTCTCCCCCTCCCACTCAACATTAGGTTCACCCATATCCAGAGTCCTCCAGGGATATTCCTGCTCACAAGGATAAAGACCTGTTTGGGGAGGCACAAATGCAGTCATGAGGAAAAGGGGTCAGGGTGGGGGGGTCACCAGGGGCAAGAAGAGAACTCTGCTGCCCTGGTGGCTGAAAGCCCACCAGTCACCTTCTGGTGGGCGTAATTCACGACAGCCAAAAGGTGGACGTATCCATCAACAAATGGACGGAGAAACAAAACATGGTCTAAATATACACTGCAATAGCACCCCGCCTTAAAAAGGGAGGAAGTTCAGGCTCCCTGCTTAGCAGGGAGTCTGCTTCTCCCTCTGACCCTGCCCCTCTCATGCTCTCTCTCTATCTCATTCTCTCTCAAATAAATAAAATCTTTAAAAAAAAAAAAAAAGGGAGGAAATTCTGACACATGCCCCAACACGGACGGACCTGGAGGACATTCTGCTCAGTGAAATAAGCCAGACACAAAAGGACAAATATTGCACAACTCCACTTATATGGGGGACCTAGAGGAGTCAAATCCAGAGAGCCAGAAAGGAGCATGGTGGGGGCAGGGGCTGGGAGAAGGGGGAACGGGGAGTCGGTATTTAATGAGGACCAAGTTTCAGTTTGGGAAGAAGACAACATTCTAGAGATGGCTGGCGGTGACGGCTGCACCACCACGTGAATATACTTGATGCCACTGAAATACACACTTAAAACTGTTTACGATGGTAACTTTTATGTTACGTGTACTTTACCACAATTAAATTTTTTAAAAAGCCTTTTTTTTAAAAAAAAGATTTTATTTATTTATTTGTCAGAGAGCGAGAACACAAGAAGGGGGAGCAGCAGGAAGAGGGAGAAGCAGGCTCCCCACCAAGCAGGGAGCCCAATGCGGAGCTCGAACCCAGGACCCCGGGATCATGACCTGAGCCAAAGGCAGACGCTTAACCAACTGAGCCACCCAGGCGCCCCTAAAAAGCCTTCTGATGGGAAAGCAGGTGGACTCTGCTGGGCCAGTCTAAGTTGGAGAGGCAGGACCTGATCCTCTCCCCAGGGTGACAGCCACCACATCTGCTCTGCTCTGGCTGCCCAGAGCAGGCAGACACCAAGTGGGCTCAAGACACACCAGCAACTGCCAGGGGGGACCACCAAGCCAGGCCGACCACACCCATGTGCCAGACCTTGCCGTGGGCATTTTCCTCACACGGCCTGTGAAGTCTCTGGTATTAACCAGTTACAAACAAGGAGGCAGAGTCAGGCTTGGAGGGGCCCTAGGAAATGGTCCAAAGTCACAAGACTCAAACCCAGACCTGCCTCCCAAATCCTGGGTCCTTATAAATAACAGATGCTCTGCAAACAGTATGTTCAAGGAAAAGTCAAATGCCCCATATGTCTCTCTTTGAGAGGTAAATAACTAATGACCACCCTGACCTATAGGGAGAGGGATTCACCCTTTTTGCCTGTAGAATTTCAGAAAGATTCCTGATTGTAGCTCCTACCTTCGTAATTTGTCTAGCCAATGGCCTCGCACTTCCCCAAGCAAGTGGGTATCAGCCAAAAACATGGCTTTCAGAGTCTTTTGTCCACTGTCGTGGGCTGGAGTTTTCACCTCAGGCCAATCACACCGAAAGATCACTAAGTAATAGATTAAAAATTCACAAAACAGAAGCACGGCAAAGACAACAGCTGTGAGTTTCAACAGCAAGGAACTCCTTCTCTTTAGCAGACAAAGATGCTGTCTTCCAAACCCCAGCCGAATCAGAGCCATGTCTCCTGCCAGGAGTCACCAGCATCGAGGAGTGAAATCCATCAAGAATTCACCATGAGAGAACTGTGGAATCCTGGTAAGGTGTCCAGCGCTTAGCCATGTACCTACAGGGGGAAGAGAAAGGATCAGATTACGTTTCTTAATAATGCCATAAACACTCCTTCTATTAAGAACTAATGAGTTACAGGGGCGCCTGGGTGGCTCAGTCGTTAAGCGTCTGCCTTCGGCTCAGGTCATGATCCCAGGGTCCTGGGATGGAGCCCCACATCGGGCTCCCTCCGCCTCCCTCCGCCTCCCTCTGCCTCCCTGCTCCGCAGGAAGCCTGCTTCTCCCTCTCCCACTCCCCCTGCTTGTGTTCCCTCTCTCGCTGTGTCTCTCTGTCAAATAAATAAATAAAATCTTAAAAAAAAAAAAAGAAAGAACTAATGAGTTATAGAATCGCACCTATATTCCCAAATAAATGAAGTGTCCAGTACTTGTACAGGATAATATGTTGGATCATGCTATAAGAATGATCCTCCCTCTAACACGATAAAGTTTCACTGCCACTTTGGAAATCATTAAATAAGAATCCCTCCAGAGGATGTTAAGGTAGGAGACATAAGGGGCACCTTGGTGGCTCAGTCAGTTAAGCCTTCAGCTCAGGTCATGATCCCGGGGTCCTGGGATTGAGCCTTACATTGGGCTCCCTGCTCAGAGGGGAACCTGCTTCTCCCTCACCCTCTGCCCCGCAACTCGTGCTCTCTCTCAATCTCAAATAAATAAATAAAATCTTTAAAAAAAAAAAAAAAGGTAGGAGACATAATGGAACAGTCAACAAATATTAAGTAAGTATAACTTGACTCCCAAAACTTGACTCCCACACCTCGACCTTACAAATCAACAGGCCAGCAGCCCCCTGTATTGTGTTGCCTCTGGTGTGAATTCAGCACTTTTCCATATTGCTTTTCCACAAAAGAATTGAATATTCATGGACAATGTGCTTCAGGGATGCGAGCAATACATTCCACTCTGGGCTCAGAGACCAGGGTCTCACAGAGCCACCCATCTGTCAACACGGCATCTGGATTATATGTTTGCAAGAATATGGGTTTTCACCTGCAAATGAGCCTTAAAATTCTGGATGGCCTTCTGTTAGAAGCCATCTATGTACAGTGGTTTCTCTATGGGAAACTTTAAAATGTTTAAATGAATCATAAATGAAGTTTGTATCCTATTTTAAAAAAAAAAAAGCATCCACTTCTGACACATCTGAAGAGAAAGGTCGGTACAAGGATGACCTGAAACAGGCTTTAAGAAGTGACACGCGGAGCACATGGGGGGCTCAGTCGTTAAGCGTCTGCCTTCGTCTCAGGTCATGATCCCAGGGTCCTGGGATCGAGCCCCACATCGGGCTCCCTGCTACGTGGGAAGCCTGCTTCTCCCTCTCCCGCTCCCCCTGCTTGTGTTTCCTCTCTCGCTGTGTCTCTCTCTGTCAAATAAATAAATAAAAATCTTAAAACAAAATACTTAAAAAAAAAAAAAAAGTGACACGCAGGGCGCCTGGGTGGCTCAGTCAGTTAAGCGTCTGCCTTCGGCTCAGATCATGATTCCAGGATCCCAGGATCAAGCCCCTCAGCGGGGAGTCTGCTTCTCCCTCTCTTTCTGCCCCTCCCCCCCAGCTTGTGTGCACTCTCTCTCTCTCTCAAAATAAATAAATAAAATCTTAAAAAAAAAAAAAAAAAAAAGAAATGACATGCTACTGAAGTTCCTCACCTTAGGCTCCCGACCAGGATCTTAAAGGGCAGTGACCTGATAGCTGCAGAGAACTGGAAAGGGAGAAGCTCCGGAAGTCTCTCGGGGGAGGCTTAGAGGGCCACTGACCACAGATCCTCACTGAGCCAATAAATATAGAAAATCCCTTCCTGGGGGGGACGCTTTTCTAAGATGAATCCAGGAAACCTCATATGGCTGATAGGCAAGGGGTCAAGAACACTCTCTCTCCTGGAGGGTCTAAAATAATCTCTGCAAAATTCAGTTTCCAGAACTGTCCACATCTGCACATAAGCCTGAGTCCCTGTAAGAGTCCCTAGCTTACAGCACAGTGGCGTTCTACATAACAACCAACCATTAAGCTACAGAAAATTTTTTAAATCTTACCTAAAGAAAAATAAATGGGGGCAAACACATATTTTGAGCCATTATCAAAAGTTTAAAACAGAACCTCAGAATTGAAAGTGATAAATGATGGATGCCCTTCCTGCTCCTCCAAATGGAGCACTGACAACATCTGTGGCTTTTCAGAAAAGAAGAAATGACAGGATCGGAGGTGCAGGAATGGCTCTGGGCCCAAATGTTCACCCTTCCTCTGCCTGCTCTCGAATGGCATTATTTACAGTAAATGCTTGATTGAAGAGGGAACAGGACAGGAATCCCAGATTGTAAATGTGTCCTTTCAGACAGGGAGGTCAAAGGCAGGGGTGCATGTAATCAGGGATCAAACACTCGTCCTGCAATTCTACTCCGAACACCCATCTATCTTTATCAAGAGGTCCGACCACCGGTGACCACGTGACACACCCTGTCCTCTCCTCAGAACCTCCTCGCCCAGTCGGTTTCTCAAAGGATGAACCACGTGTGCCACGTCTCTAGAATCACCGGATGCTTTATCTTCCAACCGGGGACATGTTTGAGAGGGAAAAGTGGCATTAAGGATAATAAAGACGGGACATTGGTGTAAGCCAGGACAGTCCCAGGCCCCTCAGGGAGCGCGGTCCCCCTGTGCATGATTCCACCCGGTGAGGCCAGTGCTTCATCTGATGCCCAGGAGGACAGAGTAACGCGTCTCTTGCTGTCATCCACCTCTCAGCAATCGAACTCCAGAATGAGGTACAAATGCCCCTAGTAACCATTCACCAGGGAGACGAAGAACATGGATCCTCTATTTGGGTGATGCTCATAAAAGAGAGAAAGAGAGAGCCTCAAAGGAATCATGAATGTATTTCTCAATACCATCTCATTTCCTTTGGTTTGATTCAATCAAATATATCAGAAGAAACCATTTGGTGTTACTATCTCACTTTCTTTCAAAAGGCCCAAGAGTCTTCTGAAATCCTAACCACAGCAGCTGAAACTTCCCAAAAACCTTCACGTTTCCTCAGACTTGCCGGGAGGAGGGAGCCCGGCCTCCTGGGGCCAGCCCTACAAGCAGACTTTTGCTCTTTAGAGGCTCCAGGTTTTCCCGGAGCTGAAAACCAGAATGACGACTTCGTAATTGCTCCTCTACACCCACTTCCTTTCATCTAAGAAGCTGGTTTCGGGAGTTGTAACTAAGGTCCGGAACACGACCAGGGGACAGGAGCGGCCTGGAGCAAGGCAGGCCCAGGCTGCCGTCCAAGTGCAGCACACAGCGGGGGTCAGAGGCTGCAGCCCCTCAGCTTCCCTGGAGCCACGGAAGCAGGACAGGACACACAGAGACAAGCCAGGGGAGCTCTCCCGACCCACCCAGCTCCCATGTACCTTTGATCCTGCTGACGCCCGGCCGGCCTCTGGCCCCAGGCTGACAGCTCAGATAAGGAGGGCCACGGGGCAAACAAAAGGTTGGGGGAGTCCCTGCCCTTCCCACAAGCATCTATGTTCTTTTTTCTGTAAAGACATAAAAAATATCCTACAAAGAGCCCTCCAGCCAGAGGACTTAGAATAAAGGAAGGGAAGGAAGAAGGGAGGTGGGAGGAAGGAGGGAGGGGAGGGGGAGGGGAATAGGGGAGGAAGGAAGAGGGCAGGGCGGGGAAGGATGGAGGGAGGGAGGAACGGATGAAGGACAGGGAAAGAGGGAGAGCAAGCTAGCTGGTACTGTTACATATTTTCTTGTGAAAACCCTAACACCATGTGACTCAGCTCTGTGGTATAAGAAACAGAACTCCTCATGGGGTGAAAACCATTGTTTGACAACTTCTGACACCAAATCCTTAAACAAAATTCCTTTTGCTCAAATCTTGGAAATCTACTTTGCTTTCTCTATCCAAGCTCATTGTACTACTCTGCAAATTAGTACTCCCCAATGTTGTCTTCAAGGCGATGGCCAAAACACACACACCCACACCCCCCTTTTCCCTCCTGAAATGAAGCCAGAGTAATTTTTAGGGCCCATGGCCGATGGGGGGTGGGGCAGGGGGCCCACCGTCCCCCTAGAAATGCCACAGCAAGGCCAGCGCCAGGCACACATGAGTAATGAGCTCCCCCCTTATGGCTGCTTCCAGATGCCCATGAAGTGCCCTCTCCTTGTGCTCAAGCCAACCTCAGGGACAGCACGGCGTCCTCATTTATGGCCGCAGCTGACCTGTGAAAAGAACACGCTGACCACGAGGAATAGGGAGCAACGGACATTTCCAGCACAGGGGCAGACCCGGCACAACGGAGCGTACCTTTCTTGGGAGGAAAGAAGAAAACCTCAGAGCTCTACAGGGAACCTTCCACTCTTTCCTCTTCCAGTATCTCATCCTAGGTTATGAATACCAACCGGCAGAAAACAGCTACGCTGAACTGGAAAAAGCCCAACATACAGCTCTGCTATGTGACTCTGGGCAAGCCACTTACCCTTTCTGAGCCTCACAATGGGGGTCACAGTGCTGCCACCACTGATGTCATGGGGTTGACAGAAATGATGTTCACAAATGTGCGTTTTTTAAACAGTGAAACCTTCTGTGAGGCAGGTATGTCAGGATTAGATTAGAGAGCAAGCCTTCCACTCTGGTGAATTCAGAAGCAATGGAACTCAAGTCAAATAGCCTTAACCAGAGTAAGGAGAATGAAGCCCAGCAACTGCAGAGAATCTAGAAGCTGTGGCCGTCGTTCTCCACTCATGTACCAAGTTGGACTTTCTAACACTTGACATCCAAAGTCCCTAGACCCTTTCCTCACTAAATGTAAACCTGAACTTGTATCTCAACCATAATGAGTAGGTCAGTGACTTAAAATCCCCACATCCGCGCAGCCCGAATAACCAAATGCTGCTCTGTCTTCCACGTCTCGGCTGTTACAGGCTAATGAAGAGAAACTGTGTTCTTTCCAAGATAAAATGAAAGGGGGGCCTGGTCCCTCATCAGAGCACTGTGGAGTGCTCTAC